GGATTCGACCTGTGCACTGGATTGGAATAGGGATTCGACCTGTGCACTGGATCTCACTGGAATGGAATACGGATTCGACCTGTGCACTGGATTGCACTGGATTGGAATAGGGATTCGACCTGTGCACTGGATCTCACTGGAATGGAATATGGATTCGACCTGTGCACTGGATCGCACTGGATTGGAATAGGGATTCAACCTGTGCACTGGATCTCACTGGATTGGAATAGGGATTCGACCTGTGCACTGGATCGCACTGGATTGGAATAGGGATTCGACCTGTGCACTGGTTCTCACTGGAATGGAATACGGATTCTACCTGTGCACTGGATCTTACCGGACTAGGATAGGGATTTCACCTGCACACTGGATTACACTGGAACTGAATAGGGATTCTGTCTGCATGTTAGATCTCACGAGATATTCCAATATGAGTTTTCCACCTCTGCTTGGGAAGTAACCAGTATTAAAACCAAGATCCAACTATCTGGAATTTAAAAGACATCCCTAACCTTTTTGTACCTTGCAGGGTATACAACTAGGGATTCCACATCTGCTTGGCAAAGAAAGAACAATTTTAACTATCAATTGCTAAACTGAGCTTAGAGAAACATCTTATTCCACACCTAACCTGCAGTGTATGCTGAAAGGGCATCTGTGCCTTTTTGGGATTGTAATCTTAATAGTAACTACAAATGACTCACAAATAAATGTTATTCAAATGGTAGTGCCTGACTCAGTGTGCAGAGACTTGCTTCCCTGCAGAGTGCTATTGTACTCTGTCTAAGTGGGAAGCTCTCATAACCCTCTGATAACCTACAGTTTATACACTGTTTGCTGGTTGTTTCATTCGTTGTCGTCACGTGGCAGTTTTGCGAGTCTGAGCTCATTGTCATTATACAGTTCTGCTTAGTCTAGTCGAGCTTTGATGCTTGAAAGACAGAGGGAGCGTCGTGTCTTATGATATTATTTATCTAGATGAAGAGATTATTAGGTTTTGTAATATCAGTGAAAATTCATGTTACTTCTTTGGTAACCTTCAATATCTTTAATCATTGTTGTTTAATATTTCATTCATCTTGATTTCTGCTGAAAAGATTATGGTATATAATTCCACAGAAAGGCTAGTAGATAACCAAGTTACAGTAAGATTATATGAAATTTACCAAATGTCAGTTAATAGCTAATTATTATTAGTTGCAATACTTAGTTATATGGTGGTAATAATTGGTAGCATACCCGAGTCTTTAATTTACTAAATCAATACAATCATATCTTATATAAAGATGGGAGCTGATTCTACCAAAACCGTTGCAATACGAAATCATTGCAAAACAATTCTGTGAACTATGTGTCCATAACTAGGAATTTGCTTACTAATTAGATGTGCTAGTTTTTGCTGAGTTTCATAGTCATTCTGCTTCTGCTTATGTTAGTGTAACGACTAGTCTAGATTTTGTTTGATGTGAGAATAGCAGACATATCCATGTCCTTTACATGTGCTGTATTCATGACATGCATAATATCAATTCCAAGGAAAAAACTGTTGACTGTTGTGATAACAGAGTTGAATATTTCATCGCCTCAGAACAAAGCACTAAAGCTCTTCAACGTGTTGAGGCATTCCACTGCGCGAAAACTCTGAGTGTCTTTCATTATGAATCATTAGGTGGGTCGTAACTGGATTTGGTCCTATCCTGCGTCATCACAAACCCATTTCTAGAAACTAGTACACATGCTCTCAATATTAAGGCTCATTCATGGTTAGAAACTAAGTTTCTAACCAAGGCAGCAAATACATTGTCAGAGAAAAAAACAGGCCAAAAAAATATACACACTCATGATCAGACAGAGTCTCTGGTGCTTTTACTATGGTTTATTATGAGTTTCTTGGCAACATGTAATTTGCTGCCGACGTTGAGAGCAGGCAGAAAACTGACCATTGTGGGCAGCAGAAGTGCTGTTTGCTGGCCCTTATTTCGAACCGTGGGCTCATTACGTTTGCTTGAGTGAAAATGTACGATGGCCATTTCTAAGCAATGCATCTAAGCATGTTGACGTGTTGTCTGCCGTGTATTTTCTTGGCGTTGATATTTCAGGGTTGTCAAATGCTGTTGTTGATTCGCCAGTCTTCATCATAAGGCGCTCGTTAAACTCATTCACAGCTTATTTTGAATGTTCTAGAACCACTAGCTTCTTAAGCTTGGTATGAATACAAACGGTGTGTTGTATAACAGCTTGTGTTTCTGTTATTGCTTATATTCTTATTCTTATTGGTAATATTTTTCTAATAATTGTAATAATGATTGTAGTAGGTTGTAGTTGCACCGCTAGTTCGCTATATCATTTACAAGTCACTGACCGTGCTGGCAGTGGAGTAAAAAAGGCACCATAATCTTTGCTCCCAATGCAGAGAGATTGATTATTGCATATACCGTGCTGGTATATATGAAAACGTGCGATTAATTCTGGTGGGTTTTATCTCGAGTAGCCACGCATGGTACACATATCTGCTTATGATGGTAGGTTCGATGTTACGTAGTACTGTTATACTTATAACATGTGTAGCAGAGCTAAATAATGTCGTTTCTACTTATTTTACGTATGCTCAAATCTGTTATCGTTGTTGTTGTTGTTACAAATAATATATAATATTTTAATATGCATAGTTTTATGATTAGAATATATTATGGTGTTTT